GGGTTCAAGCGATTCTCCTGCCTCAGCCTTCCAAGTAGCTGGGATTACAGGCACCTACCACCATGCCCGGCTAATTTTTGTATTTTTGGTAGCGATGGGGTTTCGCCATGTTGGTCAGGCTGGTCTTGAACTCCTGACCTCAAGCAATCCGCCTGCCTTGGCCTCCCAAAGTGCTGGGATTACAGGCGTGAGCCACTGCGCCCAGCCCTAATTTGATTTCTTAAAGACAGGGTGATTTATGGTGTGGCCCTCACTACCTCTCTGTTTCCAAGTATTCTGGATTTGTGATACATAGAGGGTTTATGTTACAGTGCCACTAAAGAAACATGTTACCTTAAAAGTTATATAATCAAGACCCGGCGTGGTGGCTCACGCCTGTAATCCCAGCACTTTGGGAGGCCGAGACGGGCAGATCACAAGGTCAGGAGATTGAGACCATCCTGGCTAACATGGTGAAATCCCGTCTCTACTAAAAATACAAAAAAAAAGTAGCCGGGCTTGGTGGCGGGCACCTGTAGTCCTAGCTACTCGGAAGGCTGAGGCAGGAGAATGGTGTGAACCCGGGAGGCGGAGCTTACAGTGAGCCAAGATTGCACTACTGCGCTCTAGCCTGGGCAACAGAGCAAGAGACTGTCCCCCCGCCCCAAAAAAAGTTATATAATCAAAAGGCTTAATATTTTATCTGATGAGAGTACTGCTGGTAAATTACCCAGAAACCTGTATTGGAAGATTTGCCATATTCAGAAGTAAGGAGCTATATGGACTGCTTGTTTTGTTTTGTTTTTTGAGACAGAGTCTTGCCTTATCACCCAGGCTGGAGTGCAGTGGTACCATCTCGTCTCACTGCAACCTTCGCCTCCCAGGTTCAGGCAGTTCTCATCCCCCAACCACCTAAGTAGCTGGGATTATAGGCATGTGCCATCACACCTGGGTAATGTTTATATTTTTAGTAGAGACGGAGTTTCATCATGTTGGCCAGGCTCGTCTCGAACTCCTAAGCTCAAGCAATCCACCTGCCTCAGCTTCCCAAAGTGCTGGGATTACAGGTGTAAGCCACCACGCCCAGGCTGGACTGCTTTTTAAAAATTTTATTTTAGGCAGTGTCTTGCCCTGTCACCCCGGCTGGAGTGCAGTGGTGTGATCACAGCTCACTGCAGCCTTGACCTCCTGGGCTCAAGTTATCTTCCTACCTAGGTCTCCTGAGTAGCTGGGACTACAGGTGCATGCCAACATGGCCTGCTAATTTTTAAAATTTTTTTTGAAGAGACCAGGTTTCCTATGTTGCCCTGGGTTCAAGTGCTTCTCTCACCTCGGCCTCCCAAAGTGCTGGGATTATAGGTATGAGGCACTGCGCCTGGGCTGGACTGCTTTTTCCTACTCAGCCGTATGTGGTTACTTACGATTTACATTAACATTAATTAGCTTTTTCCACCGTAGTCCATATTTGAGTATCTGCTCCAATAAGGTGGTAATTTTTCTTGTCCACATCTCAGGATAATTTTATTTTGTTTTTTATTATTTATTTATTTTGAGACAGGGTCTCGCTCTGTTGCCCAGGTTGGAGTTCAGTGGTTCAATCTCAGCTCACTGCAACCTCCACCTCCCAAGCCCAAGTGATCCTCCCACCTCAGCCTCCCAAGTAGCTGGGACCACAAGTGTGCACCACCATGCCTAGCTAATTTTTGTATTTTTTGGTAGAGATGGGTTTTGCCACGTTGCCCAGGCTGGTCTCGAACTCCTGGGCTCAAGCGATCCACCTGCCTCAGCCTCCCAAAGTGCTAGGATTACAGGCGTGAGCTACTGTGCCTGGGCTTCTCAGGATAATTTTAATTTTTTAAAAACTGATTTGGAATCATGTTTAAGGAAGCATGTGGCTAGATTTTTTTGTTATACTTGGTAGTAGAGGTTGTGTAACTGAGATAATTGAAATTTGTAGCTAAATTTTTATTTGCTTGTTGTTCCAATCCACAGTTCTGACCAGAGGGGTAATAAGTATTTAAACAGACACAAAGTGAGGAGGGTTAAGACCCCTTCACTTAGATGATCTGGAAACTGGATTGACCAACCTGTGTATAATTGACTTATGCATAATTAATAGAGCTGAATGTAGGTTTGATTGGGTTCACTCACATGCTTGTATTCACAAATAAAAATTTTGGAAGCAGATTAATATTATTTATCATTCAGCTTTTTAACCTAAGCCTACCATGGTTTACATCTAAATTCTAGCTACAGACATCTGTTTCTGTATATTAGGTATTAATCCATTTACTTAAATTTCTTCTTGAAAATATTGAAAGGGTCCTTTTCACCTTGAAACCAAGGTGAGGAGGAAATCAAGTCAATTAAATCCATATAATGACATAAACTTACGTCTGGACAGATTCTTTCACTCTTCCTCTCCTTTTAAATCTCATATTATTTCTCTCCAGGAAAGACACAGATGAAGCTGACCTGGTTCTTGCAAAAGAAGCTAACGTGAAATGTCCACAAATTGTGATAGCATTTTATGAAGAGAGACTGACATGGCATGCATATCCTGAGGATGCGGAAAACAAAGAGAAAGAAACAGCAAAGAGCTAAAGGAGGGGATGGTCTCTGTCATTTCTCTTTGTACATAATACATTCACCTCCCTGCCTCCTCTCCCTTCTACCCACCCCTTTCTATCCTAAACACATCCATAAAAAATGTGCTTATCACTGTGCTCCACAGGAGAAATGTTGGTATTGGTTCTCTTGTAACATAACTGATGGTCTGATTAATGATGAGTGTCTCTCTGTGAAGACCAGGCATTTACATACTGAGTGTAATACCCACAATTTTTTTTTCCTTTGCCCTGATCTCTTCCTTCTGCTCCCCTGTGACCTCAAGATGAGTTTTAACTTTTTAATCACCTTAGAGTCTTGATTTTTAGATTGGGGGATTTTGTCACAATGATGTTGAATTTTGGTTTCTTGCTTTGGTTCTTAGAACATGTTGCTGACTAGCTGGCCTTTGTTCTGACATGTTGAGATGGAAAGGATGTTGCCCGTCTGTTAAAAAGCCAATAGCAACTGCCTACCTGTTGGGGCTTTCCCAACCTTGTTCAGCTCTACCCAGGAGAATACAGGGTTTCTGGTGTGGTCTTCTGGGCCACCCTCTGTTGTTCATCCTCACTCATCCTCCCAGAATTACTCCATCCTTTGGAAGATTTGAAATTTTACACTGAAGTTTGTCAAGACACTCTTTTTAGCCCCAGGACTTTTGGTCTTGCTTTTAGCACTCTCCACTTCTGCTTCTGTAAAGTGATATCAATTTGTGATAAAATGACAAGATTATTAACTGTGGAGATTTTTAGCTATAGTACATGAGGATGATGGGGTAGGGTACAATTGTCTTTATTATCACATATGGTATGTATGTATGATTTCTTTCCATTCCTCATATTTAGACTGTATATTTATGTAGGTGTGAGTGTTTGCCTGGTGCTTGCTTGTGCCAAGGTGCTAGGCACCCTCCAAGCCTGCCAACTTTTGTGGCCTCCCAAAGCATTCCTGTTACCAAAGAGGCTTCAAACCTGACCCTCACTTCTCAGTGGACCCGAGTTTCCCTTCCATGCCATTATTTTCAGTGGGGAAGTTTTAGAGGTGAGCTGTTGGCCACAATATCAATTTTAAGTATTCATAGCAGTTAAAAGTCTCTTGCATTCTTGGCTCCTGGATTTACCACCAAGAGTCCCCAAAATATTAATGCTCTTCCCTTTTTCTACCCTCAAACTTATAGTTGTATCTTATTTTTTAAAATGAATTTTCATGGCCAGGCACAGTGGCTACCACCTGTAATCCCAGCACTTTGGGAGGCTGAGGCAGGAGAATTGCTTGAAGTCAGAAGTTTGAGACCAGCCTGGGTAATGTAGTGAGACCCCTGTCTCTAAAAAATATAAATAAATAAAAATAAAGGCATGTTCCTAAAAGACTATCACCTTGGAAAGTGACAGGCCCTGGCATTATTAGCATGTTGACACAATCTTTTCTCCTTACTCAGCAAAATATTTCCTTTTGGTTTCTTCTTGTGTTGCTATTATATTGAGAAATTTGTCTGATCATATCCTTCTGCCTTTGTCCCCCAAGAAATGTCCTACTTTATCCTTTTCTTTTTGTGGTTGAGGAGGGCTAGAGAATCACAATTAGAAGTAAGGAAATAGCAGGGTTTTGAGGACCCTTGTCCCAGCCCCAAAGCTGAGGAAATAAGAATAAATGCTTAATATAGCCTTAATTCTAGAGTGCACCAGCCATGAGGCTGCTTTTCTTGTTGCTTTTGATTTTTAAAACATACAGCTGTTTGGCCAGGAGCATCCGCCATTTCTAGATTATTCAGAGTAATGAGGGGAATGGATGGATTGCTCTAGTCCACAGATGAGCCACATAATATGCAAATCATATACCCATTCATAGCATTTGTTAACATTGCTTCCCTGCTCAGCTGCTGATTGAATTCTGTGTGCTTATATAAATTATGTCAAAAATTATACTGCATAATTGAGGTGACAGCTGTTGCTGCAGTGACATGACAGACTGGAACAATGAAGCTTTTGGTTTAAGTCAGCTAGGAAAATCCTTCTGAATGGTAATGTGATTGAGCAAGAGCTCATAAACCATACCTCAAGTGGGTGGGAGTTTTATCTGTATATTCCTTCTCTCTCTGAAGGAATTAAAGGCTTAGATCAAGTGCTGGATAATTGTCAATTGCTTGTACTTAATCTGATCGGTTTCTAAAAGAAGGAAAGGATGGTCAGGAAACAGATTTATCATAAATGTAGCCAAGGATATCAATTAGGGTAGACAAGAATAGGACAAAAATAGGCCAGAGCTCCTGAGGAGGTGATTTGGGTCTCGATTTGCAGAAAATGACAGCCTATCCACGTGGCCCAGTGTATGCCTCCCAGTAGCAGTGGGCATGTAAACTGCAGTGACCAGATTTTTAAAACTAAAAATCTCTAGTATATGGACAAAGAACATGACAATATTTGGTACTGAGATTGGTTCTGAGAAACTTGGGGCACATGGCTGCTGTGGTTATAGGTAATATTTAAGACATTCATAACAATCTGATATTCTTTTTACCGAAATAACCCCAGTATCATCTACTACTTATCATCTCTTTAATAGACTTTTGTCTTTCTTGTTTTTGGTTTATTGTACTGAGTGCCGCCAAAACAACTTTTGTTCTCTTCCTGCCTACCTGCAGCTGGTTCAATAGGAATATAGGGAGCTAGAAGCCAATACTGATTTCAGCCCTTAGCACAAAGGAAATCAGATGCCTGCTTCCAGCATTTGTTAGTGTTGAGTAGATGTTCTTGCCCTAGAAGAATTAACAGCCTCAAACAGAAACCTGTTTCATGGAGCTTTCCACCCTCAGAAGAGTTAATAGTTAAGTGCTAAGCACTCTTAAACTCCTAGGTCTCAAATGCTAAAAGTATATTTTTCCTGTGTTTTAGTCCTCTTTCAAGAAATCTTTCTAATCCTTTCAATAATCAGCATTAAAAGATCTTCCTTTCTTCAGAGTTATAGCACAGCTTTGTCCAGTAGAGTCTACCAAGGACAGCTTAGCAGCTCTTTGATCGCTGGGCTAGGCAGATGGCCTTCAAGTTAAGATCAAATGCCGGAAAATCAGCCTACATGGGAGCACCCATTTTAAACCTGGAGAGAACCATGGTGTTTTCTTCTTCAAATAACAATCTGGTTTTTTTTTCCCCCAGTACTAAAATTTTATTGTCTTTCAGACAACATAATGTTTATTTAAAATTGGAACATACTATCTTCATGCTTTCTTTTTCTTTTTTCTTTTTTTTTTTTTTTGAGACGGAGTCTCGCTCTGTTGCCCAGGCTGGAGTGCAGTGGCCGGATCTCAGCTCACTGCAAGCTCCGCCTCCCGGGTTTACACCATTCTCCTGCCTCAGCCTCCCGAGTAGCTGGGACTACAGGCGCCCGCCACCTCGCCCGGCTAGTTTTTTTGTGTGTTTTTTAGTAGAGACGGGGTTTCACCGTGTTAGCCAGGTTGGTCTCTATCTCCTGACCTCGTGATCCGCCCGTCTTGGCCTCCCAAAGTGCTGGGATTACAGGCTTGAGCCACCGCGCCCAGCCTATCTTCATGCTTTCTAAGCTAAATCTTAATTTAGATTTCACTCCTCAGTAGATCTCAGAGGAGAAGCTATATAGGATCCAGATTCAAATTTAACAGTGTCTTCTACTACTTCAGTTATGTTTTCTATCAACTCCTGCTGCTGCTTCAAATAAGGATATTTCTCAGGAGACTCTTCTACTTGTCCACTGACTATATTTTTTCCTTTTTGATCTGTAGCCCCGGTTAAATGGCTGATGTCCTTCTGTGGATGATTCTTGGAGGTAGTCTCAGAATTCCAAGGTGATTGTCTATCTTCCTCTTGTCTTTATCCTAATGCATTCACCTCATTTATTTATTTATTTATTTTTAGATGGAGTCTTGCTCTGTCACCAGGCTGGAGTGCAGTGGCACAATCTTGGCTTACTGCACCCTCCATCTCCTGGGTTCAAGCGATTCTCCTGCCTCCGACTCCCTAGTAGCTGGGACTACAGGTATGCGCCACCATGCCCAGCTAATTTTTGTATTTTTGGTAGAGGTGGGGTTTTACCATGTTTGCCAGGATGGTCTCGATCTCCTGACCTCATGATCCACCCACCTTGGCCTCCCAAAGTGCTGGGATTACAGGCATGAGCCACTGTGCCTGGCCACCTGTATTAATTTTTGTGCCCAAAAATAAAATTGTCATTATTTGTTTGCTCTCATGGGGCACTTTCAGTAATACATTTTTTTTAAAATTCTAGTTGCCCGCTTTGTTGATCCTTCCTTTGTAATACTAGACTTTGCTAAAGACTTGAGGTGTGGTTTCAGAATAGGGTCAGGTGATGGGAAGGCAGGATGAGAAAAGTCCTGGACTTGCATGTTTGAGAAGGCTTCCAACCACATCTTCACTCACACTCTAGGTCGGAATTCTTGTCCCCAAAACAAACTTCTGTTTTTTTGTTCACAATGCTATATTTGCTTCTAAATTTTTCCTGAATTGCTGAGAAGCAGTCATTAGCTTTGTTAAGTTTGGTTTGGGGACATCGTTGGTATCAAAATCGAAGTCTTCATTTGATGTAGGCTGTGAATCATCAATAACTGGTTACTGGAAAGCTTGACTACCATCCACTGGGTTGCTATTTTGAGAAGGATTTTTGGGTATCTTTTCTTCTTTATAATCTGCAATTAGTTGATGATTGCTTTCTAGTTTATCAACTGCATTTATATTTGCTTTTCTGTTTACTAAAAATCCATTATTTGCTGGCACCCCCCCACCCCACTTACAGCAGGTAAAAGTGGTCTGAGGTTATCCTTGTTTTTCTTCACGGTTTGCCATGTGTGAAAGCAGTTTTCCTGCTACTGATATATTCTCATTATAGACAGAATAGTGGAGAACAGTGTTGCCATGGACAACAATCCAGTTTTGGTCTCCCTTGGGGAGCATTTGGACTTGTGGTGCTTCTAACACTTAAAAGTCTAGATGGTTCTTGACTGTCCCCCAGCCATACTGCGTACTACTTTGTGCATTCTACTTTGTGCATTCTACTTTGTGTCATTAATGAAGGATTGGTCATGTCTCTGTAACTTAGGCATTTATTATTCTTAACTCTTCGTTCCTGTTCTGTAGCCACCCTGCATATGTCCAGGCCAAGCCACAGGGCATTGGGGAAGGTTTTTGGGATTTTCATATTGAGATTTTATTGAATCTGTAGTTTACCCCAGCTTTCGTAAGATACAGTGAGGGGTTGGAGGGATCTGTGTTTGGCCTGGGGAGCAGTTGTCTCTACCTTAAGGTTATATTTTGAGGGCATAAAATACTATTTTGCAATGTCATGAGAACCCCATTAGATCTGAAATGTGGAAATGGTTTCTCACAATTTAAAGGAAAAACTCACTTTGCACCCATGATCCCATCCTTTTGGTTGAGATTTTAGAATAAATATTATAGTGTTGAGATCCGTACTTTTGTAATCAGACCACCAAGCATGCCTGTGGCAAGGCAGAGAGGAAAGGTCTAGAGCTAGTATATTGCAGTTTCATGCTACCTTTACCTACTAATCATAAAAATTATGTTTTCAAAAGTAGATAATACTAGCCTTACACCCAAAAACATGTTCTGAATTAGATGCCCCTCTCACCCAATTTTTATTAAGCTTTCTAAATTCCAGCCACATTGCTGTACATCAACATTGGTTTCATTCAACAGCCTTTTTTTGGCCTGAAGATACAAAGTTCAGAAAGAGGCCATCCCTGCCCTCAAATAACTTTCATAGTGGTGTGTGATGAACTGACCATTAATAGTTTAAGTGCTTACAAGCTATGTTTCTGTTAAAAAAAATAGCTTGGTATAATAAATGCTATCTATAAACCAATACATATTTCTGACTTGGGGGCAGAGACAGACTGGCTGATGTTGTGTAGTTTGTAGCCCTAGAGTAAGAAGTTGACATTAATTTTGGCTTATATGTGGAAAAGACCTATAACATTGGGTGAACTGAGCCAGCTGGCCATAGAACACAAGAACATATTCCGGGAAATAAATATAGCTGAGGGTTGGAAATGCTGTTATTACCGAGAGAGAAAACAGGTGAGTTGGGATTGAGAACTCCTGATTTTCATCCCTGGTTTAGATTCTTGGCCACAGTAGTGGTAGAGTTAATCTTTGCTTGTGGAAAGCGTTAAGTGTGTTGCAGATTCAGTTGTGTTACATTATTGTGGGTTCTATAACAACATATTCCTCATGGACACTTCACCAGAGTTGCTCACACTTTTTTCAATTTCTCATCCCTTTTGGAGGAATGAACATGAGACTGCCTTTAAGCCTAAAACAGGGACTGCTTTCCAATGACGAGATTTTCTAAAGAGAAGGCTTGGAGCACATCTGTTAATACCTGAGCATCTACTCTGAGCAGAGCAGTTTTATTCAATACTGAAGAGAGGGTGATTTCTAAGCAGAGAATTGTATCACTTATGTGGAAACCTTTCCCAGAAATACATATACCTTGTATATTAAATCCGAGTCTCAGATTTAATCATCGAGGCCTAGCCGGGTTAAGAAACAGTCTGATCTGGCCGGGTGCAGTGGCTCACGCCTGTAATCCCAGCACGTTGGGAGGCCGAGGTGGGCGGATCATGAGGTCAGGAGATTGAGACTATCCTGGCTAACACGGTGAAACCCAGTCTCTACTAAAAATACAAAAAATTAGCTGGGCGTGGTGGCAGGCACCTGTAGTCCCAGCTACTCTGGAGGCTGAGGCAGGAGAATGGTGTGAAGCCGGGAGGTGGAGCTTGCAGTGAGCCGAGATCGCTCCATTGCACTCCAGCCTGGGCGACAGAGCGAGACTGAGTCT